TAATTCAAGTTGGATTAGAGCTCCCTAGAGGCTTTGTGTCCCCTTTTCTTCAGTCATTTGTGTAAGTCTATGGACTGTGCCCATGGTGGGTCCTGGCTTTCGAGCCCACCATCCTCCTGAGACACGGGGTCAGTGCTCAGGATTCGGCATCTGTCAACACAGGCTGAGCTGGTTTCCCAGGACAGGACTTCTGCCACCTGACCAGGCTCAGACCAAATCTCCAAGGATGTCAGTGGCCTGGCCCTGGTTCTTAGGCTGCTAATTTGGCTGTTTAGGTAAGGTGAATGGTGAAGGATCATCCAGTAGGATTGCAACAGAAGGCAGTTATCTGCTAACAGGACCAAGGTCCAACCAAGCCCTGCTACAGGTTGTCATTCTTCTGCTTACTGAGTCTTGAATGAGATGTTATGTGTGTGAGGTGCACATGTATTTAGCATTAAGAAAAGGGGTCAGAATAAAATAAAAATCGGTGCACAGTGGCTTGGTATGATGTTAACTTCCAAGTTCTGATGGAGAAAAGGGATGAGAGAGAAGTATCTGGTCTGAGATCTAATCTCTTCCCACTTGCAGGGGAAAACAAGACTTTGCTCTAAGCAGACTTATAGCAGTGCTGTGATGTGCTAATAAAAAGCTTAGCACCTAATGCAGTTAGGAGTTGCATTTGGTTGCTAGTTTTAGAACAACCTGATTTAGGATGGCACATTCAAACTGGGTTTTTGCTTTCTCACAGGATAACAGGAATCCAGAGGTAGGTAGTCCAGGCTAGTATAGTAGCTATATGATGCCATCAGGGGCCCAGGCTCTTTTTTACTTTCTGGCAGGTGGCTTTCATCTACTTTTTTGTCACCTTGCTATCCAGCACTGAGTCCATATTCCAGGCAGGAAGAAGGGAAGGGTTAGCTAAGCCAGCTAAGTGTGCCTTCTTTTAAAGACTTTCCTGGAAGGCCCACCCAGTGATTTCACCGTACATCTTATTGGTCAGATCTGTGCCGCATGATGAACCATGAGCTAGGTCAGTTCCAAGGGAGATTGGGAAACATAAGTTTTTCACTGGGAACATTGCTGCTTTGAAAAAATTGGGGCAAGGAAGGAGGAGAGAATAGATGTTGTGAGTCAACACATTTGTACTTGAAGGCACACTATGTGTCAGACACAGTGCTGTGCTCTTTCTGTGCATTGTCTCCTTTAAGCCTCACAACATTCCCAGGAGGCACGGGCAATTGTCTCCATTTTTCCAATGAGAAACTTGAAGCCAGAGAGGTCAAGGACTTACCCAAGGGCACCCAGCATATATTGGGGTGGAGCCAGCTCTTGGAACCAGGACTGACTCGCACTAAATTTTATGTGCTCTGGGCTTGTCTTGCTCAAGAAGAGACATAGATGGCCAGAATGGTCACAAGTGTCAGGAATTCTCTACGTTTTGAACAGTCACTGATGCTGAGTGTTTACAATGATAGTAAAGACCTACGCAGGAAAGGCTTGTGTTATCTTAGCTAAACCTGTATGCCCCGCATAGCCAGCTTCTCTGAATGACAGTCATTGACAGCAGAGAGATACTTCGTCCTTTTCCATCATTGTGCTAAATCAAGCATTGCAAATCTATTTTGTGACAGGTTTCCTGATATGAGAAGTCATGTGTTAAATTGTCGGGAATGCATGGAGACAGGGAGGAAATCAAAAAAACATCTTTGCCTTAAACCCTATAACTTAGTTAAGTGTTGAAGTCAGGCGAGGTGCTGGGGTAGGGAACGTTACCTTCCCTTTTCTTACTTTTAGCCATAGCCTGAGCGTGGGCACTAGGCATGTTCTGTATGTACCAGCAGCCATGGGACTAGGAGCTATTCATAACCCCAGGTCATAGGTCCTAGAAAGCTGCCAAGTGGCAAGCAGACTACCATTCTTTCAATCACCCTCTGTAGTTTGTTTTGTAGTAAATGGTGGTGTTAATCTGAAGAAAAGGATTTATCGTTCCCTATCAAATTTATTTTCAGGAATCACTGACATATATGAGGGCATGTTTTCTCATATGTACATACACAGTAAGGACTAAGGTTTATAGTTAACTAGCTCCAAGGCTAGAAAAACCTGGCAAACTCCATGATTTGGGGTCAGTTTGAGACAATATTAAATGTGATTATCATTATTCAGCTGGCATTAAGGTCATCTGGCTGAGACAACAGAGGCTATTTTCTGTACTACTTTCTTATGCCTCCAAATTCCCATCCCAGTGGAGAAATATAGATGCTCAGTAAATACATGGTTGTCGATTAGTAAAGAATGAAAAATCCACATTACAGTTGATTGGGCTGAGATATTATACCACGATCTTTGGGTCCTGGAGTTGAGGAAACCCTTTTCCTTCAGTTCTAATGTCATACATGTAGGTGGCATATTTGCTTCACTACCTGGCTTTTATGACAAAATGCTGTTTATTTTATGTGGGGATGAATAACAAGGAGGTGCAGTTCCTTAGAGCTCACAATGAGAGTAACCAGGGTATAAGGCTTTGGTGACTTCGCTATGGTGTGACCCAAAGGACAGCCAGAGCTCTCATCTTCTAGGCAGCAGCCTTAGCGCATCCCCTGTGGGTGGTCTTCCAAATACGAGAAACAACAAAGAAGATAAAGGTCAACTTAGGCAACTTGAAGGCTGCTGGTTGGGGTTACACTGACATGGTTATGGAGGATTCAAAGAAGAAAGGAAAGGCAGAGTTAAAACCTCTGATGTGTACATTGTAGAACAGAGTTGTCCCTTGATAAACTTACAGTAAGAATAGCTTTTTCTGAAAGGATAGGCCACTGAAGATTTCCCATATGTTCTTACTTCTAGAGCTTATAGACCCCTTGAACATTAGGAGTGAAAGGGCCTTCAGAGATCAACATCAGAGTATGTCAAAAATGGTGTAATAGGAGTCCTTCCACTATGAGTGACAGAGACTAAACCTCAGCTAGCTTAAGTAAAATAGAATTTATTGGTTCACAACCAAAAAGTCCAAGGTTATGTCTGGTTTACATATGGCTAAATCTAGGAGCTCAGGCCAAGTGTTTAGGATTGTTTTTCTTTACCTGCTTGGTGTTGGTTTTATTCTCAAATACTTGCTTTTCCATATAGTTGTAGCAACTCAAGACTAGCTTGAACCAAAGTCTCAGGGCTAACTCCGATGGGCCCAGATGGAGACATGTGTTGACCCTTGAACCAATCACTGTGACTTTGGAGCCTTAGCTGCACAGGGACTAGTAGAGTCAGTGGCACCCAAACCACGTGGACAGAAAGTGAGGGAGAGTGATCCCCAAATGAGAACTGAAATGCTGTTACCAGAAGAAGGGATGAGAGATGGGGCGAAGGGGGTGGAATGTCCCCTAGTGGAGGATTAATGAGGGTCCAGAGAAGTTCCGCTCTCCCAAGCTTTGGGTTTTTATGGAAAAATCACGAGCACATGAACAGTGAGATATATGATTGCTTTTCTCAGTTTTCCACGTCCAAGTTAAGGCCAAGAGTTAGGCTTATACACACAAAGCAGCAGACCCTACATTAGGGGTTGTATTTTCACTTTATATTGACATTTTAACCAGCTCCCAGGCTGGATCAATTCTGTCCTGGGTCTGGACTGATTATTGGTTGCTGAGGTTCTGAGGTTGTTGCAAGAACACCCGGGGACTGACCACCTGAATATAAATGCAGCAGCATTTCCTTTGTATACTTTTATGTTGAAATGGAAAACCCTCTGGCTCGGCCATTTGAATAGTGATGGATTTCAAGGCCAAGACCTTCTTCCCAACAAGTACAAGTAGATTGGCTGCTCTATCCAAGAGTCCCTGGTAATTTTTCTGCTCCTTTTGGGCTGGGGTGTGTTCCCTTTCCCGCCCTCCCCAAACTAAATTCTGCAAAGCTTATGGATCCACTACTGTGTCTCTGGCACCAGGTAGTGAGATGCAGACATACCTAGAACCCTGCCCCGAGAAGGTGGGGAGAAAGGCAGCTTACAGTGGCAGACAGGCCATGAAAGAGGACTCGTTCTCTATGCCTCAGAAGGCCTTCCTCTAGCCTCAGTTCATACCCTAACCTATCGCTTCACCCTATTCTCTATTACAGTTTCCAGCTTTGCATGTATCTAGGTCATCAGCACGCATGTGGAGAGGCAGTAGAAAGCAGTGACTGAAGCACGTGGGCTCTGCAGTCTCCCCGAGACCGAGCCCTGGCTCCACTCTCTTCCAGCTGTATGATCTTGGACAAATCATTTATCTTTCCTGTGCGTCAGTTTTCTTATCTTTACATTTTGACTGGTAATACTTCAGAGAATTGTCGTTAGGTCAGTGTTCTTGTAGGTTCCTGTGTGAGCAGTTTCCTGACGAGATCAGTAAGTGGTCATATAAAGAGGTTGCTGTGCCGATTCTCTTCTCACCATCCTGGAGGAATTTTAATTATGCTGACAGTTGTACCTTGGGCCGTGCTTGCTGCTAGTGGGAGAGACCCTGGACTCAGGAGCCTTCTATCTGAGCTAGACTGCCCCAGACAGATAGCTAGACAGATAGCAGAAGGGAAAATCATGAGAATGTCTCATGTATCATTTATTCATTTAGTAGTATTTATAGAGCACCTATTCTGTACCAGTCATTGCACAGAAGTTCTGGGCAGATGATGATTGGCCAGAGGCCTCTGGCCTGGTGGAACTCATAGCCTACTTGGGTGCTAGATGAATAAATGCAGTTATGGTTTAGTGTGATTTGTGTGACAATGGAGTCCGCTAAAGTCCCGATCTAGACTGAGTGTGTGTGGCTGGGGTGGCTTCCCGGCAGAGGTGACATTGGAGGTGCCAGATCCCAAAGGAGTAGAAGTTTGAGTAGGCAGAGTGAGAGACTGGTCATGAAAAGTGGTCACGGCAGAGGGAACAGCCCATGCAAAGGCCTGGAGGTAATTTGAATGTAAAGTGTGTTCTTCGGGATGTCTTGGCTGCCAGCTGTGCTGTCTGGAAAAGGCTTAATGTGCTGCTGTCATTGCAGAGACATGGAGAAGCTGGAGCGGCAGGCAGTCCCCCAGGCTAACCACACAGAGTCCTGTCACGAATGTGGCCGCGTGGGTACTGGACATGCAAGGGATTGTTCTCATCGCCGCCATGAGGACTCCTTTGGATTTGAGACGCGAGAGCAAGAGGAAGAACGATATCGTTCCCAGAGGGACCCATTGGAGGGCAAGCGGGACAGAAGCAAGTCCAGGTCCCCATACTCACCAGTTGAAGAAGATGCCTTGTTCGTGGATTTACCCAGTGGCCTGAGAGGCCAGCAGGCACAGCCCCAGCGTGCAGAGAAGAATGGCATCGCATATGGCTTAGGAGAGCAGAACGGGACTGGTGGGTACCAGCGGGCCTTTCCTCCCAGGACCAACCATGAAAAGCACAGCCAGAGAAAGAGCAGCCTGGCCCAGGTGGAGCACTGGGCAAAGTCCCAGAAGGCGGATGGCAGGAGGTTAGTAACAGACCCAGTATCACTGTTACTAATGAACATAATAACAAAATAACATAACTGTCATTTGCTCAGCACGTGTTGGATAATGCTGGCCATAAATCCTCTTGCCTTCATTATCTCCATAAATCCCCATAACAACCCTGCAAGGAGGGGCCCATAGCTTCAATTTATAAATGAAGAAACTGGGGCATGGAGAAGTTAAGGAACCAACCCAGGACACAAAAATAATTGGCAAAGCCCAAGTTCAAACCTGGGTATGTGAGCCTCCCAAGCCCACTGAGATTACATCAGGAGGCTTCTCTGTTCCCCAGGGAGTGTGCCTGGAGATGGTCAGCATGTGGATAGTAACTCCTCCTCTTATGCTGCTCCTTCTATGCATCTGGAAATATTTGTAGAAACTAAAGTAAATACAGACCGATTTTTAACTTTAGGCACTGTTGACATTTGGTTTTATCATACCCATTCCTTCAAGAAGCAGTTTTTAATTATTTAGAGGGTATATATTCTTGCTATTTGCAAAGCCCTGTATTTTATTATAACTTTAATTAGGACATATTTATGAATGTGCAGATTTCAGGGTCACTCAGCTTCTTTGTTGTCCCCAGAAGCCACTGTGTTTTGTCTTCATTGTGAAGACACCATCCTCAGGCTTGTAAAACAAATCACTGACTGGAGAGGAGATAACACAGCCATGGTGTGGGCAGAAAGCTCCCCAGCGGCTTGAGGGGTCACAGTGTATGTGCCAGAGCTCAGACCAAGTCTGCCACAGGCCTGATATATATGTGCTAAAACACCAGACTTCATTCTCCCTGTTGATGAGCCCAAGGCTTTCCACCCGTGGGCTCCTGAGGCCAAAATGCCCCTAGGGGAGAAGCCTAGGCCTGTTTTTGGATCTGGCCCAACTGGGCAGTTGTGAGGGTAGATCATGGAAAAAAACAGGACCAGGAGAAGGAAGGCCTTTTGTGTTGTAGCTAAGATACCTTCTCATTCCCACTTGGGACAGACCAGGTGTCAATTCTGTTTACATTTTGTGTTTTATTGAAAACAAGCTACTGCCCAAGGACATAGGGGCAGGAAGTGGCTATTTGTGGTGCTAGGTTAGGTGGTCCTAAGTGACTTTACTGCTGAATGAGGTTGGAAAACTGGCAGAGGCTGTATCCTGTAGGTCCTTATACTCCAATGTAAGGAATTTGGATTTTATTTGAAAAAACACTAGGGGGAACCACTGGAAGTTTTTAAACAGGTAAGTGATGTGATCTGATTAATAATTCACAAAGAAGTTATGAGCCTAAGGAGGAGGCTGTTGCAATAGTCAGTGGAAAGAGAAATAAATTTCGAAGTACATTTTGGAGGCTTAAACAGCAAAGCTTGTCAGCAAATTGGATGTGCGGGATGAGAGAAACAGAGGAACAACGAGGATCCCTAGGATTTTGATTTGAACAACTGATGGTTATTGCGATGGGGAAGGCTTAGGAACAAATTCGGGGGAAATCAGGGCTTCCATTTTGGATGTAAAATTTGAGAAAGCTGTTAGATATTCAAGGGGAGATACCAGGTAGGGAATTGGATATGGATTGTGGTGTTGAGGTTTGAGGTCTGGTTGGACATGCTAATTGGGAGCAATCAGCATATAAGTGACACCCCAACACTTAGAAGTTAGCAGCAGAAGGGGGATCCAACAGAGGGAGACAGTGTGGTCAGAAGCTACTCATGCTAAGTTAGGTGTTCCTTCTTGTGTGTAACAACTCTTAGGAACCGAAGTCAATATGAGGCTGCCGAGAGGGGAGGTAAAAGCAGAAGAAACCAGAAAAAGGGGCAGATAGGAAAGACGAGGCTTTGGCCTTGGTGAGGCTGTGTTTCCTACTAAACAGTTTGGGTTTAATTTTGAAGGCCAACGGAAGCCATTGATGGACTGTAAACATGAGCCTGGCATGATACTAATATTTAGAATGGTGATTTGAAGGGTATTAGCAGGAAAGAGGCATCTGAATCCACATGGGGAGGTTTTTTTGACCAGAGAGCCAGTTCTCTATTCCAGTTCTAATACAGCAGGTCCATGGATATGTTGAAGAAATTTCTCAGGTGATCTACCCTCAGGTGATACTCCACCCAAAATGAAAATGGCAGTTGTAGTTATCCTTATTTAAAAAAAAATTTTTAAACTAAATACTAATACATATACGTAATTTAAGGATTTAAGTAGTATGACCCCCATCCATCCCTGCTTCTGATTCCTGCCCCTTTGAGGCAGCCACTCTCAATTCTTTTAGGAGATTTTTCAATTTACCTAATATTTCCAGGTAAGATAGTTATACTACTCTTGCTTGGCTTTTCAGCTTTTGTTATCTGTTGACATTTTACTGTAGGAGATAAGAATTTAAGTCTCTCCCCACTAGCTTTCCTTTCTAACAGACATACTTACCTTGACCCCAGCTTCACAGTGTAGTTATAGCACAACGTTTTTTTAGATCTCTAGTCAGTTTTTACATTATTATGACAATGCCAATATTCAAAGCTGGGGCATATAGTATTAATTCAATTTCATTTGTTGTACAATTTTTTGTTTTCACTGGTATAGATAATTTCCATGCTTTGAGTTAGTTTTCTCTACCAATTACTAATTCATCACCAAATTCACAGCTAGGTGTGTAAATCTCCCAAATAATCAGTATTCCACTCACAAGGTAAAAAATAAGTGTCCTATTTTATTTCAGAATGTGTTTTAAAAAAAGGAAAAAGAAATCCTGCTCTTCACCTTGCCCTTTTCACTTAATATATCAATATATATGTATGTATATAGCTATACATTTTAATATCTCTTAGCTATCTTTCCATGTCAGCACATGCAGGCATATATCATTAATTTGAAATGGTGCAGAGTACTCCAGTGATCTTCATACCATTCCCTTTTGATGGACAATTAGGTTGGTTACCGACCTTTACTATTACAAACTGCTACAGTGACTAGCCTTGCCCAGTCATCTTTGCATACAAATGCAAGTGCACTTGAGGAATAAATTACTTGAAGTGGAATTACTAGGTAAAGGACAGATGCGATTTTAATTATGATAGGTACTACAAAATTGCCCTCCAAAGACGTTCCTGTTTCCCACCCCCATTTTGGCACTGAGAACTACTGTTTTAGATAAACTGCTTGCTCTGGTGACAATAGGGAAGATGGTTTAGGTGGAGAAGAGCTGAGAAGAGAAAATGATCAAGTATAAGGTGGTTACAGTTTGGGTCAGAGGAGAGGGAGATCTAAACAAAAGCAGTGAGGATGGTGAGGATTGTGGGGCAAGGATGGTTAGGGTACATAGCTGATGACATCGGCCAGGTGTAGGCTTTGCTAAACATTTATCTCAGGCTGGAAGTGGGGAAGACCACAGGTGGAGTTGAGGTTAACATTCACGTTTGGCTTGGTTAATAGGTAGGTGTGGTGTGAGCATGAGAGAGAAAAATGAACTTGAATGTGGTACCTGTGGAGTGGCCAGGTGGAGATGACTGGTAGGTTATAGGGAATGCAAATTCAGGTTAGAGAGAGATTTGTAAGTCATTGCCCTAGGTGTGGTGACTGAGTCCCTGGCAGTAGTTGAGATCACTCAGGTTGGAATGCTTAGAGCAGTGGTTCTTTATATTGGCCGCATAATTTGATCATTTGAGGCCCTGCTCATAGATTTGACTTAATTGGTCTGGAGTAAGATCAATGCATCAGTAAGTTTTAAAAGCTCCCCACGTGATACCAGAATATGAGAGAAGTTGACATTTACCGAGGCCTGGATACCATGCACCAAAATCTAATTCCAATGACCTGGGTTGTAGCCTGGACATCAGGAGTTTTAAAGACATTCCCTGCCCCTAGTGATTTTAATGTGCAGTCAGGGTTGAGAAGCTCTAGCTCAGAGTGAACAATAACAGAGGGCAAAGACAGAACCCTGAGGATCTCCAGCCCAAGGGGTGAGCAAAAGCAGAGAAGCCATAGAGGAGCCTCCCAGGAGATGGAGGAGGAAAACCATGCGGGGAGGGGAGCTGTGATTGGAAGGAGTCAGAGGAGAGGGAGAAAAGGACTTCTCATTGGGGGGGAGTGCTTTCTGAGGGGTCTGGCACCACTGGAGGAGTATCTGGAACCTGAGGTTTGTGCTGCTTTTTTGCTCAGTAACAGAGGCCTTTGGTTCTGCTGAGTGTCTTGATGGGCTTAGATGGGCGGACTTGAATTGCCCTTATTAATAGAGCTAGAATTTTAAAGTTAGGTTAGGAAGCAGAATAGTAGGAGGGGAAAGCTGGAAGAAAAATGACATGGCCAGTCAGGTTTCTCACTGGCCCTTGTGGCAGGGGCACAGAAAGGACTTCCAAAAACTGTGCGACTGATATGCAATTATAAGTTGTTGGTTGTGAAATGTCTCTGTGTAACCATTGTGGCAGCCAGCAAACCTGCGTTATTCCGCTACAAGCAATGGCCTGTATTTGGGGGTGGAGTGGGGGTGCACCTCGGGGAGCTAAAGGATGAGAAGTCAACTGCAAGGAGATAAGGGTGGCTGGAGAAGCCCTTGGACTGTCCCCAGGATGTGAGATGGGAGTTTGAGCCATTCTTATCTAAGGGGCAGCGTGATATTGGGTCCGTAGATAAAAACAGTTCATTGACCTTGGAGGTCATTAAGCACACAGAAAAATTTCATTCTAGTGGTGGAAGGACTCTCAGTGGGCTGAAAAGTAAAAGTGAGGAATTGAAGGCAGAGTTTAGAATACCCTTTTGAGAAGAAAGCTGTCAGTCTCTGAGTAAGCAAAGTGCTCAGTCTGATCATTCACTTGTATCTTGAAAGGACTTTGTTTTTCCAGAGGTTTTTTTTCTCCCTTGAAGACATGTGAAATTTCTTACAGTCAAGTAATAAATAGACCTGGCTGCTTAATAAAGGAACCTCCTCTATTTGAAAATATAGAAGGTGGATATCTCTGCTTTGTGTATGATTAAGACTGTGCTTACAATAAGCTCATTAGATTGAGCACGTCGATCATTGGAAGGAAAATTATTTGGGCCATAATACGGTCTCATACTTGTGATTCTAGACCACACAAGAAAATACTTCTAACTGTTCTTTCAGAACTTGGAGATATATACTTCACATCATTAAATTTCTCTAGAATAATGGTTTGTGAGGTCCAGACTGACATATCCTTAGAATCTTACCACATTCTAAGAGATTGTTTTGAAATTCTAGCCTTCTATTTTTATTTTTTCTGGTGTTTAAAGTAATGCATACTTGTAAAATAAAAAGGTAGTGGTGGGGGTAGAATTAGGGACTCAAACATTACAATGAAGAGCAGAGTAGAAAGTTAAAAGTCCTGCACAATTGATATGGAAGTTGGGGTGAGGAATATCTGCTGAATAAGTAATTAGTTATAAAAATTGATGTTACATTTTAATATGACCGTTTTGTAGTGGCTGAATCAGAATATCTGGTTTGGTGCCTTTTGGAGCAGGGATGCTCCACAGCCACAGAGCAGGGTACAAGGGCAGGAGTCCATGAGCACTCTTCTGGGGGTAAGGTTGGAGTTGGGGGCCAGAAAATTGATCTCCTGTCAGGGACAAAGCTGCTCTGGGAGTCCTGCCCGCTTTGAGAGAGATTTAGCTCATCTTACAACCCTACCTCCTGTATCCTTTCTTCTGCCATCCGTTAGTTACTATGGTTTGGCCTCTAGAGCCAGGGCTCACCTTTGGGTTTGCCCCCAAATAGCCAGCACTGGGGGGATAGTAGGCAGCACAGAGGCAGAGGGCACAGGCTAGTAGAGGATGAGCTGAAGGCTTTGGGGCCCGGCCCAGTGCGGGGACTCTGATCATCGGGACACTGTAGGCCGGCACCAAGAGTGAGCTGCCGAGTCCGATGGAAGGAGTGTCCAGGTGGGAGCACAGGTAGGATGTGCTCTGCATAGTTTGCATTTTGTTTCAGGCCGAGTAAACAATGGTTAGTAAAGTTATAAACGTCCCAGGGGAAGACCCCAGCCTGGTTTGTGCCACTGCCACCACCACCGTTAGAGGATTTGGGCACTGCCCCTTCTTCAGAGACAGGGTTCCCTCTGATTTTGGGAAACGAATAGCAAACCCTGCCACCTAGTGGCAAGAAGACAGGCTAGATAGACACACTAGACTAGTCTGGGTTAAAGAGATCTTAGAATTACCTCTTGTAATTACAAAGATAAGGATGAAAAGGGACAACTATTTCAAATCCTTACAACAATTTGTGAAGTGGTCCTAAGTATCTCCATTTTGTAATAAGGAAAGTGAAGTCATAAATGACACTTGCCTGAGGACATAGAGCTAGGAAGTGATTAAATAAGATGAGTTTTAAAACAATTAGAACAATTTTAGAACATTTAGAACATCAGCCACCTGAGGGCTTGTTAAAACACAGGTGGCTGGGCCCCAACCCCAGAGTTTGATTGGGCAGGTCTGGAGTGGGACCCGTTAAACTACACTTCTAACAAGTTCCCTTTGCTGCTGATCTGCCAGTCCACAGAGCACAATTGGAGTAGCACTGGCATAGAATAGTGTCTTGCTTGTGGTAAGCACTGTATAAAAGTTTGTTAGATAAAATTGCTAGAAGCATTCAGGATTACAACCTAGGCCTGTCTGACTCCAAAACCTCTTCTGTTTACAACATCATGCTGCCTCCAGCTCAGACTTTTAAGACTGAATAAAACTCTATACTTTGCCCCTTGCTGAATTTTTCATTCAGAAAATAAAGTGGCTTGTTGGTAGTAGTTTTAACGATCATATCCAGCTTTTGTGAGCTGGAGTATTTATTGAAGGGCTAGTTATGTGTCCAGACTTTCTCAGACCGCGGACAATACAACAGAATGTGACACACATTTCCTGCCCTCCAAGGATTTACAGCCTTGGCTGGGGGAGAGATGTCTTGCAGGTATGAAAAGGTTATGTCGGTACAGGACCTTGGAAAAGTTACAGACCATACAATAAGTAGGTCAGAGCAGAACAAGAACCCTTGAGGGCTGTGGCATTGCGGAAGGTCTCCGTGGAAGAGGCATGGGACAGGGTCCTGGAGAATGAGTGATATGAGGGTGAATAGAGCAACGGGTAAGGGAGGGAAAGACAATATTATGAGAATGAGAGATGGGAAGGGAGCACCCCACTGGTGGAGTGACTTCTGTGTGTCAAGCATGGAGCCTTCATTCTCTTGTCTCATTTACTCTTCAGAACAGCATCAGAGAATGCCGTTCTCTTGTCACAGGCAAGGAAGCTGAGGCTCAGAGCAGTCAGGCAGGTTGCCTGGGTCACATAGCCGGTGGATTAGGTAGAGCTAGGATTCAACCCCAGGTTTGACTGCCTCTGCTTTTTCCACCATGAGAAGTTGCCCAGGGAGGGGTGTAGGAGGCCGGGTGGGATGCAGGTGAGGCTCTCAGGCTTCAGTTAGTACAGGGCTGTGCCTGTGGCGGGTGCCTCCTTACATGTTGGGCCCTAGACGCCTGGCTTCTCCCTGCCCAGTCCTGGCCCCAGTAGGAGGAGCAGTGGAAAAACAGCAGGACTGCAAGGTGGGTTGAGATCAGGTGCTAGAGAGCTATGAGTACCAGGTGAAGGGGTTTAGATTTTATTTCATAAGCAATGGGGAGCCACTGAAGTTTTTGGAGCCCAGGAGTGATTGGAGCCAGGCAGTACAGTGTATAAACGACTTAGGAAGGACTCAAAGTTGTCTGGGGGAGGTCACTAACCCGTATGTGGGTTAGAGCAGTAGAGAGAGAAAGGAACTGATGGCAGCCACTTTTTAAAGTACCTCCAGAACTTAGTGCAGAAGGAAAGTCTTAGTGACCTGGAGAATTGTGAGATGCTTCCTAGAAATATGCACACCCACTAGAAAAGACGATGGGTCAAGTAAGAGGGAGGAGAGGCAGGATTAATCACACTGCATTTGAAGTGACGGGCGTGGGGCAGATAAGTCAGCCTGGTAAAGGGCTGACTCTTCAAGGCTGACGGGGAAAAAATTGGTTTGGAGTCCTCTGCCAGGGGAGAAAGAGACAAAAGTCCCGGATGTCTGCTTTGATTGTTCTTTGGGGTTCTTACAGGGCTCCCTCACCTGCCTGGCTTCGTACATTTACCTAGCTATGTTTCCAGAAGCCTGGCAGACCCTTGCTGATCGTCTTACCTGTCCTCCTCCTCTCTCCTCAGCCTGCCGCCGGACCAGACCCTTCCTCGCCAGGGTCCTAGCCAGTCTCTGTCCTTCCCAGAAAACTATCAGACTCTTCCCAAGAGCACCCGGCACCCCTCAGGGGGCTCCTCGCCCCCTCCCCGCAACTTGCCAAGTGACTACAAGTATGCGCAAGACCGAGCCAGCCACTTGAAGATGTCGAGTGAGGAGCGCCGGGCACACCGCGATGGCACCGTCTGGCAGCTGTACGAGTGGCAGCAGCGCCAGCAGTTCCGACACGGCAGCCCCACAGCGCCAATCTCTGCGGGCTCCCCGGAGCTCACTGACCAGGGCCGGAGCAGGAGCATGCTGGAGGTGCCCCGCTCCATCTCTGTGCCTCCGTCTCCCTCGGACCTCCCTCCCCCGGGGCCTCCCAGGGTCTTCCCGCCCCGGCGGCCACACACACCAGCAGAGAGGGTCACCGTGAAGCCACCAGACCAGAGAAGGAGCGTGGACATCTCGTTGGGGGACTCTCCCAGGAAGGCGTGGGGCCATGCCACCAAGGTGAGGCTCGAGCCCTGCCTGGCTCCCGGGGTCCAGGATTAGGGTGTCAGGAGCCTCACCTGGTTTAAACACAAATTTGAGCAATTTTGGATAATGATAGGTAACATTTATGCAGTAGTTTTAGGTGCCAGGTGCAGTACTAAAGGATTTAATTCTTACAGCAGCTCTAAGAAGTAGGTGCTATTATTATGCCCATTTCACAGATGAGAATTCTCAAGGCATTAAGAGGTAAGCAGCTTGCTTAGGGTCGCACAACTAGACGTCTGCTTGCCTGTAGCTTAGAAGATGGGAAAAGATGTCTGCTTTCAATCGGTTCAATTATTTATTATAACCCAACTTAATTTGAGCTCTCCACGGGCTTTCACAGTTTACCACTGCTATAACCTGGTGAGAAAGTGCGTATCTCCCTTTTACAGATGAAGAGCCTGAGGCTCAGAGAGGTGAAGTGCTGTGTGGCAGGCTGCCCTGGTAGCAAGTGGCAGAGGCTCTGGCCTCAGCCCTGGCCTCCTTGCCCGGCCTTCAGTGTGACTTCTTGTCTCTCTACCTGCAGAACTCCTCTCACGTGGACCGACGCTCCATGCCCTCCATGGGTTACATGACCCACACTGTCAGTGCCCCCAGTTTACATGGAAAATCGGTAAGCACGCCTTCGTCTCCCCTTCTAGGCGAACGATATGAGACATCCTGCAAAGGGGGTAATCTCCAGTGTTTTGCCCTGAGCCGGTCAAATGCAGTTTGCAGGGCAGTTTTCAACCCTCATTTTAGAGCCGAGGGAATTCCGGCTCGGATAAGTCAAACGACTTGCTCAGGGTTACCCAGCCGGCATTGAGTTTTTCCCAGATCCAGTGAAGTGCTTGGGGAAGGGGTGGAGAATGTGGGCTCTCCTTCTCTTTCAGGCAGCATTTTCTAGCCACCTGCCTTTTTCACATCAGCTCCTCTCCTTTCTGCCTGGTCCTTGCTTTGATTAGTGAACAGTCTTAAAAGTGTGGGTCTGGGTTGCTGTTTCCTGAAAGAACTTCCTGCAGCCCATTTTCTGCCAGTGAGTTTATTTGTCCTAATGACAGAAATAATGTAATAATCGCTTACTGGTGTCTCGTCAGTGCTGTCCTGGCACTGGGGTAAAGAGTAATTATAGTGCCGTGCTCCTGTGGTGGCTAATTTCCTCGATGTGTCTATACACCTGCAGCTGGAGGAGCTCTCTCAGCTTCTCACCCGGTTACGGCGGCACCAGGCCAAGTTGGCCAGTGTGCGAAATTTCGCCGTCGGCCAGTTACTGCAGCACCAGCTGACCTTTCCCACCTGCCAGGTCAGCGCTCGCTGGTGGGCTCTCTCAGGGCCGGGGGCCATCTTGGGCGCAAGGGAGTGACATGCTGGCCCGTGTTCCCTTGTGCCCGCGCTCTAGTCTGTACTTGTCGTCTGGCTCTCTCCCTCGTTCCCTGCCTGTTTGCTTCTGATGCTACCGCCAGACACTGTGCAGCAGTGGTGGCGCCCGCACCTGGGTGCCAGGGAGGAGGCTGCATGTGGTGCAAGGGACCTGAATGGTGGCTTCTCTGGCTGTGAGTAGTGACTGCCAGGCTGGCGTGTGTGGTCATGTCTAAAAGGCTGTGCTGGCTGTCGTCTTTGTTGCCACCTTGGGCACTCCTTTGGGATGCTGAAAGGTGTGTGTAAACCAGGAGGGAGAAGGCAGAGTGCCCTACTGATTGACAGCATCCTCACATCCTTGACCCTGGTGAACCTCAGAGTAACCTGGGGGAGCTCAGATAGGACAGGAGGTACTGCCACACACCAGGCAGTGGATCAAGAAGGGGCATGACTTGCCCGGGATCCCTCAGCTAGAGCCAAAACTCAGGTCCTTTCTGCACAGCGTTCTTAACTTTCCAGAACGTGGGGGTTTGCGGACAAGCTCCTCGGGGAGTGGCCAGACATTCGCTGTCCCAGGCATCTTGGGCAGCTTGAAGGAGATGCTGGTCCCTCTGAGCTGCATAGAAGTAGGCAGAAAGTAGATCAGAAGATCATGTGATGTGATTGTCTCCTTCCTTACCTGTCTTGTTTTAGCGGGGCCCTAGGCACTCAGGAAATGTATTTGGAAAAATGAATGTAAGGGAACACTTACAAAAACTGTAAGCTATGAATTTGGGAGATTTTTAATAACATTCCTCTACTCTGTCCTCCTTACCACTGTGGGAAGTTTATAGGGACTGGCCGATTAAAGAAGTAGGGATGAATAAGGGGACAGTTTAGGGATAGAAATAAGATCTTGCAAGCCACTAGTGTCCCTGGCAATGGTCCTTCAGGCCTTTTCATGCTTAAAAGCACTGCTTGACACTTCACACACTTCACATTGTTTATTTGTATATTTGTTTTACATCGGAGTTGCAAATGGGCACCACCTTCTCAGACCCGGCTTACGTTGGCTTGTTGGGAGGCCTCTTAGTCTGCTAAGAAAGCGGTGCCTGGACTGCTTTTCTTAAGTTTTCACAGCCCCTCTGCCCCACAGTTAGCTTCTGTGATCTGTTACGTGGGAAGCATGAGTTCTAGGAAATCACTTTTCCTTATTCTTCCTTTTCCTGATAATTATTCCGAAGAACTCGACAGGCTGTCAGAGGTGACACAAGCAGACAGGTCTGACATTAGACCTTCCTTGACTAGCTCCTGACGTGGCTACATTGGCTTCACCCTGAGCAAAGGAAGCCAAAACTTCAGGAAACTTCCAGCGGCTGCTAGTGTTCATTGTTCTGAAATCCAAGGTCATAAAGGACCTCCCCGGGTATCCTAGGTCAGCTCCCTGCCTCTTTCAGGCATTTATCCATATGAATTGGGGTCATTTTGCTTCATGCATGTGAATGACCCATTGCAAAAGTTTGATGGCAAGAATCGGAGCAGAGGTAATCGATGGGCCCCTAGCTCAGGTGTGGCATGTCCTCTTCCAAGTAGACTTGTCAAGAGATCACCTCCACCTCAGTGGCATTGCTGTCCTAGCCCTCTGGTGGGATGTGTGTCCCCTCAACTAATGAGGGCACTAGTTGGCTTTCTCTACAGTGACCTGCAAGATCCACCGTGCTGAAAGAGGGCTCTGAGCTGCACTGAGACATATGCGCTTCCTCTGTGGTCCTGGATGTTTTGGTCTGCTGTGGTCCCTTGTCCCTGAAGCTGTGCAATGTAAATAATTCATACATGAAACCCTGAGTTATAGAAACCCTTGGTGTTCATAACTGGCTTTTTTGTTTCTATGCTTCACTTGAAGGCTGATGATACCTACCTCCAGCTGAAAAAAGACCTGGAGTATCTGGACCTAAAGGTGAGTAACATCTGGGTTCTTGCTTTCTTTGGGTACTCACCTTTCTGAGAGTGTCAGCCCCATGGGAGCCGAGCCCCAGCCAAAGGCAGTACAGGTGTTTACCCTAACTGTATCCTAAATGAAGATGTCTGCTGTCTGAATCATAAGAGTTTTATTTCTTACAGCCTTAAACTCTGGGCTCAGTTTCTTGTGGATTCTGCTGTAAGGTATCTGACTTACAGAATGAGGACACAGGATTCTGATTTCTTTCTGTCCATGGTCAAAGCCAAAAGGTTCCTCCAGATGATAACCAATTGCTTCTTCAGAACTTCCAGTGGGGCGGGGGTGAGTTTTGTTCATAGGGCGCCACTGATGTGTGTTTTCAGCTTCAAGTAGTTTGGTAGATTGTTTGCTGCTGGGGGAGAAGGTTCCGCATGGAATTATGTGGCTCTAAAGGGCTCTGTAGTATCCCATCCCCATTTAGGAGATGATCACTGGACTCTTCCCTGTAGGTGATAAAGCTTCAGGCTATAAATCAGCCTCTATAGCAGAGAGAGCGAATGAGAAGCATCCTGCCTGAAAGGGCTGCTATTGTTTCATCTGCAGAGCTCTCTGAAATTCCCCACTGTGAAGAGCACTTCTTATGCCTCAGCCATGCAACAGACTGCGAGAATGTGGCCTTTAATTTAAACTGTGGTATGAGAGGATGTGTGAGGGGCCCATGGAAGGACACCCAGGTGACTGCCACAGAGGCATGCCTCCACCAATCCCTGATGGACCTGGCTTGAGATATGTTTAACATGGGAACCGTCATCCAGCTTTGTAGAAGCAGGACTATGAGCATTAGGCCTTATGGCAGCAGATGGGGGCCTCCTCATGATGAAGCCTTTGTTTAGAAATCGACTATTTAACTTCTCGGTCTGCTGAATGCTTGCTGTGTACCCAGCCATGGAGGAACCGAGGGGAGATGCAAAAGAAAAATTGAAGCTCTCTGGGTTAGGGATAGAAAATATCCCTCAAATAACAGTCTTATTTATAGTGAGTGTGCAAAGATCCATGTGGCCCAGTGCTCAGAGCTGAGATAATGAAGGTGACTGTGGGTTGCAGGGCGGGGAAGGCTCCCGGAGGAGGCCGCATGTACGTGGAGCCTTGAAGAGCCAAAGGGTTTGGGTTGGGGATAAAGGGAAGGGGACGGCCAGAGCCCAAGAGAACTAGGGTGAGGATGGTGCGGCTAGGAGGTAGGGATAGTGAGGGAGGTAGGGACAGGTCATCCAGGTTCCCAATTCTATCCCAGGCTTTTGGAAGGAAGGTATAGTGAGCAAAAGTCTGACTTGGCTTTGGACATGAGCAAAACAAGGTTCTCTCACAACCAGTGCACATTAAGCTTATGTGGCGTGAGTGTAGTAGTGATGCCTCAGGGTACACAGTGCTCAGCATGGTGGGGTGGGCTAAGTGGGCAGTCCAGACCATCCTCCTGGGCCCTGATGGAACAGGGCGGGGTCCTTCCACCACACCCACCATCCCCACTGGGCCTGGGGAGAGGTCCACCAGCCCCCAGCCTACAGCTGCCCTGCGTGCTGCCACATCCACAGTCCCTGGCCTTCCTGACCACCAGTCACCATGTTGCCTGCTCGGTTCTTCTCACCCCTGCCCTGGGGCCATGCATTCGTCACAGAAGTATTAGAGCATCCACCTACCGCGGCCCCTGGCAGAGGCTTGGCTCAGCAGCTACACAGGTGTACCATGAAACACTCTTCACAGTACTTGATGCACAGTGCAGGAAAGAATAAAGTGCCTGAGCCAGAATTAGTGGGAATATCTGTCTTTTGGTTCCTGTTTGTATTGGATAGCTGAAACTTACAGTTGGCCCTCCTGGAAGGAAGATCCAGCTCAGGTTTGTTTAATTTCAATATTGTAGAATTTAGTTAAAGAGGATTTAGAGAGAGAAAAACTGAGGCACAGGATAGAAGAACAGAGCCAAGAGTTCCTGTGTGTCCCGACCCCCAACAGAAGCTAATAACAATAGAGGGCATAATGTGTGCCAGCGACTGTGTTTTACTCCTATTAAGTTTGTAACCCCGCAGTAGCCCTGGAAGAGAGGTGATGGCATCTGTTGGTTACTGGGGCTCATAGAGATAAATGGCTTTCCCAGGACCACATAAGTAGTTACTGGGAAGTCTGTATTTGGGTGTCGCTCTGACTCTGAAGCTCATGTTCTTAGTCGCCTTGCCTCCCAGCCCCTCTTAAAATGCTGCTTCTGCTACTGTGGACCCAGAGGAACTGAGTTTCTGATGGAACTGAGCTAGGAAATGTGTTCGATGTGATAGAGGCAAGGTGCACCCCTGGGGTGTTTCACTAGCTAGGAGCTGTGTGTGCCCAGAACATCAGTAATTGTAAATTGTCACTATTTGTCATGGGAAACAGTTGTGTTGATACCAAAGTTTCCCTGGCCTTATAGCTGTTGCTCCAGTTGCTGGCTCCTCTCCGAGAACTAGTCCCCCAGATGAACTACACCAGCAGCACGTGTGGGAGGAGATGTGGGGTTGGTGCTGCGTGTGAGTCATCAGTCTGGCATGGCTGCCAGGAGAGCTGACACCACCTTGGCCTCCCTCCAAGGGACAGGGTGCCCAGATCAGGGAGGCAGTGGGTCTGCTCTGACCCAGCTGGGGTGTGGGGTTCCCGGATGAGCATCTCACCTCAGGATCCAAATGAGGGAAGGGCTGGAATCAAAGGAGAGGTGTTGAGGGCCTGCAAGAATCGTGGCTGAAGGGTGTGTTAAGCAGGATGCTTTTGTTTGCAAGTGTCTGAAGCCCCAATCAACCTGCTAAGCCAAAAAGGGAATATATGTTCCAGAGGCTGTGTACCAGGTGCGCAGGCCATGTCATCACTTCCCTTGCCTCCACATGGCCAGGGAAGATGACCACCCACAAACCTAGGGTCACTTCCTTTCAGCCTAGCCTCTCCCGGAGTAAGGGAGAGGGGTCTCTAGTGGGAGGGCATGCTGGGCAGCAACAAATAGCAGCAGCCAGCACAGCTCCAGTGCAGAATGGTCGAAGGTAAGGGTGACTCAGGGAAGACATAGAGACAGTCTATAAAGCTCTGAAATGTTGCCCTAAGGAGAATGTAAGACCAGTGGCGAGTAGCTATAAGTTGACAGGTTTCATTTAGTAGAAGAAAGACTTCTAAAAGGGTCACCACAGGTTGCGGCGAACTCCCCCTTACTGGGGTGTACCCAAGGTTAGAGAAGCACTGGGTGGGATGAGTGACTGGGTCAGGAAAATCCTGAGACCTACTGGCTCTTAAGATTCTATGACATGCTAGACAAAATGAGCTGCTTATTGGCCCAGCTGAGGTCCCTGGGATGAGGGCCTCTGTGGACAGAGTTGAAAGGGCCTGGATGTGGAGATCATGATGAGCACAGCCTCTACCAGTAAGGAGGTGAGCCTCTTTGTAGGACAGTCTCCCTGCCTCCCCCAGTTTGGCCTAGGGTACCACTTGTCCCTGCCCCAAAGGCCATGGACTTAAGAATCCAGAGCCCATTATCCCCACCATCAGCAGATGCTCAGCTTCCGGAATCGGTGGTGTTTGCTCCCCACATGTTGTGGAGGCTTTTCTTTCTGAAGTGAGCATTCCTGTCATAGTGCCAAGTGATCACACAAAGGCATATTCCACCAGCTTAGAAGACAACTGTATTAATGTTCTTTTTAGAAATGTTTATTTCTCTGGCATTTTACTTGGTGGTACCAGAGTAGAAAGGACTCCACATTGATTAAGAATCTGTTCCTGCCTAGCAGTGTCTGCGCACTTGACGGTCACTATCTCACGCAGTCTATCTCAGCATCTTTGAGCGATAGGAATTATTATCTGCACCTTACCAACCAGGAACCCAAGTATTGAGAGGTAACTTCTGCAAAGTTATATGGCTGGAATTCAACCTGTGACTGACTCCACACCTGCCTTCTTGTTTCCGTGTACCATGTACTTCGCCCACCCTAAAGGTGTATTCACTGAATTGTATTTCTGGCATCAATGTGCTGCTCTTTAAGACCTGTACCCCAGCTGCGTCTGAAGTAGGTGTGTTGGAGTTCCCTGTTGACACCATGAATTGTTTTTATGCAGCTATGAAGCTAGGATGGGGAGGTGGAGGGGAGGGTATCTGCAAGCCGCTCAGGTGGTGCCTTTGTAGGTAGAGCAGGTTGCACTCAACCCCAGAGAGACCCTTGTGCCTGGTGAGGCAAATATCATCAGTGGCTCCAGATACCTGACCTCCAGGCTCTTTCTGACTATTTGAGCCTGAGATCAAGGCTTCTCTGTCCAGGGTCTGTTTCCCTGAACAAAGTTAAGAGCAAAGTTTCTTAAATTGTGATCAGGATCACCTGAGAGCTCGATTAAAAAAAAAAAAATTGTGGATCTGGAGGGTTCTGTTGAATTAGAGCCTCTGGAGATGTACTCAGAATTCTGCATTTTTAAAAATTAAGCTTCGGGGTGACTCTTGTGCACACTAAAATTTGAGGTCTGTTGTTCTGGAGCAGAGATTATTAACCTGGGCCATGAGCTAAAACAACAAGGGGAGCCATTTAGTTGAATATCGGTGATTGGACCCTATCCCTTAGAGACTCTGATTTAATTGATAACACTCAGATATTACTCTTAAAAAACAAACAAACAAAAACAAACAAAAAACCTCCCTAGGGGTTTCTAATGTGTAGCCATGGTTGAGAAACATTGTTTCACAGCAGTGGTTCTCAAAGTGTGATGCCAGACCAGTGGCATCAGCAATACCTGCAAATTTGCTAGAAATACAAAGTCTTGAGTCCCATCCCAGACTTGCTGAGTAGCAACCTCTGGGAGTAAGGGCCAGAAAATTTGAATATTAAAAGCTTGTCAGTTGATTCCAAAGCATGCTAAAATTTGAGAGCCACTTTTAAGAATCCCGATGCCCAGGCCAACTACATCCAAGTCTCATGGAGTTGGGACTCAGGCATCAGTATTTGTAAAAGCTCTTGTGTGATTCCAGTGTTCAAGCCAGGGCTGAGATGCACTGTTGTAGTGGGTCGGACAGTCCTTCCCCAAAGGAGCTGTAAGCATTTGGGACCATTGGTAAGACATAATTATTTAGATGCAGCACAGGTGTGGTGGAGGCGAGGGTCTCAGAGACTAATGATGGTTCTGCTCTAAAGTAAATATTTGGTACCTTACAGCAGGGGTCCCCAACCCCTGGGCCACGCCTGTTAGGAACCAGGCCACACAGCAGGTGAGTGGTAGGCAAGTGAGCAAAGCTTCATCTGTACTTGCAGCCGCTCCCCAGAGCTAGCGTCACTGCCTCAGCTCCACCTCAGATCATCAGGCAATAGATTCTCATAGGAGCACCAGTCCCTGGTGCGAAAAAGGTTGGGAACCACTGCCTTACAGTATGTGAAGAGAGAGGACAAAGTAGGAGCAAAGTTCCCTCTTACCTTCTGCGGCAGTACCTGGAAGGAGATGGGCAATGAACTTGGCATTCTCATGTAAGGTAGCCTGCACAAAGATCCTTCAGGCAGAACTTGTTATTCTCCATTTCATAGACATGGGTACTGAACTCCAGAAAGGTCCAACAGCTGGGAAGCAACCCAGGCAGACTGAGACCCAGTCACTGAATTGGAGAGCTCCACATTCTCGAGATTCCCCTTGCCAGTTCCCCAAATTCTGGCTCTTTCAAGTGTCATTTGATGTCTCACCTGTTACGTTTTGTTGTATTTGCCTTTTTTGTTTGGAACAGATAAAAAATAATGAACCTTTGATCAACGTGCTTTACAAAGTGCTGAAGAAGTCAGCACTGGGCTGTCGGCCCAGGAGAAGCGTAAGATGATCTGATCTGTGTCTCCAAGCGGGGCCATTCCATTGCTTCTGGCTCAGTGCCGACTCCATCACTTGCTTAACCAGGGGCCCTCCTGACCACCCCCAGGCTTCCTGCAAGTCATTTCGGTTTATTTTCTTTCTATTCAAGCTCCCTTCAGAGTTGTGGCTGGTACATCAGGCTGAGCCTCTCATCTGTGGCGTTCTGTGACTCCATCCTTTGTGTTGCCACAGGGGTGGGGGTTGGGGGGACTTGCCTAGCTTGCTACTAGCTTGTGCTGTGTTCCCATTCTTGCTCGTCTGCCTCCATGATGCGGGCTGACCTAGACAGAGACCAGCATGGTCTGGGTAGTCAAGCATGAGTTCCTTGGGAGGGAGCAGCAGTTCTTGGTCACATTGGAGGATCTGGGGTGTCCTCAGATTCCACCATGGCCCTGGGATTGGGGTGGCTCTTCGGAGCAGGATGTTGATGTCTAGAGCGGGACTAGAACAAAATGGGTGTCTCCCACCCCCCCTCTGACTGATGCAGAAGTACTGAGTGAAATATGGCCAGCTGTTGCATTCCAGGGGAGCCTGCAGGCTGGGAAGCAGGTGCTGAGTCCAGTCATCTCGGATTCTGAGGAAAGGTGTCTGGGGATGTGGAGGAGACTGAGATGCCTGAGTGGCCTTCGATGCCTTTCTGAGGCAGACCCTCTTTCAAATGGATGAGTGCCCACTGACTCACTTTTTTTGGTGATGGTGATGTTGGGGACCCATAGTTGATGTTTTAAATGGATTTAAACATTGCTAACACAGAGCACAATTTTAAAAGGAAAATTAGATGTCACACACTACTGGATATGTCTTAGTAGCCTCAGCTGTTTGGAAAAAGATAAATTCGGAAGCTTAAAGGACCCCTGAGCTGTATAACCACTATCACGAAGCCCACACTCTAAGGCCCGTGGCCTTTACACCGTAGGAGGGGGTGTCGGCCCTGAGCACAGCCAACTCACCTTGCTTTGCTACATTCACAGACTCACTAAGCAGATATATGGTGGGCCCTGGCTGGGCTTTGAGGATACGCAGAAAGTAGGTCAGAGTCCCCACCACCACCCCTAATTTGGTTAGTATCTAGTGAGGGGAGACAGAATGTATCACCTGATGTACTAAGGCCCAGTAGTTATGGGAGACACAAGAAGTGGGAGGGTCTCCCCTGAAGGGCACCAAGCCCAGCTAGAGGGAGGGAGACGGGGAGAAGCACCAAGAGTGTCACCTGTGTTGATTTCCTAATTCTAACAGACTCAATCTGAGTTCCAGTTCCTAACCCGCAGCGCTTTAAAAGCAGCACATTAAAAGGGGGCAAGAGAAAGCTACCTCTTAGGAAAGAGGGTCTGCGAATATCCTGAGACATAAAAGAAACGTAATGTCAATCTAAAATAAAAATTAAGGCCCAGAAATTTGAGAGTATTTATCAAGAAGCAAATAGTTCTAAAACACTAGCTTCTGAGAAATTCTCTATTATTGATTTTTGTAATGACTATGATTCATCCAAAAAGTTGAATTTATATTCAGTATTCTGCGAAGGCAGCGAAGGGCATACTTTTAGTAAGCTTTCCATCAAAAAGTTTAAAAGATTTGGCTTTCTCAAAATGCCTTTTTTGTGTAGAATACATCATTTCTGATGGTGCTGGATAAATGAGGCATCGCTCAATTAGATTCTGTGCCTTGCTATTTCAGCATCAAAAAGATATCATCTGTAAAAAGCTTCAGTGAAATAAGGTGAAGAGTTTTGCTAGGAGGAAGCATCTCCAAAGCATATCTCATTTTGAAAATGATTCTTTCCCAGGAAGCGAGCCAAGAGTCAGCCCCTTGGAGGGTAAACAAACTCATTGCCCTCTGCTTTGATGGACTTGTGACACAGTGAAGACTCCCCTGCCTTTACCTGCTGGGTTCTCCGGAGTTTAAAGGCCTAAGTCCTGCCTGTTTGTGGTTCACCAGCATTAATGCCATTCTTCCCCTCTCCCTCTGCCCTTGCAGGAGCCAGCACAGTCTGTTTGTGTGTGATTGCTGTAGTCACTGTGTTCGTGACTGTGTGTATACGTGTATGTACACATAATCTCCCAGTTCGAAGAGCAGAATTTGGCTGGAGTTCTGCTTTTTCCAGGAACAATACAGCATTGACTTATAAGTCTTTTCTTTTGGCCTACTCGCAATACAATAAGCATTTGCCAAGTACCTTCCAGTGTACCAGGCCTTATGCTCTAGGCTAACTTTACCAAGACAAAAAACAGACAGTGGTCCCTGCCCTCTACTATGTGACCAAAGGGGACATGGGAATGGGTGGGTGTGGGTCTGCAGCCAGACTCAGTCCTCAGGCCAAGGCATGGAGAGGGTATTCTCCCTGGATCTTTGGGTTTATTGACGACGATTGTCAGGGAGAGAGGAAGTGCAGGACAGTTGGGCACATGGGTGGCATGAGTACTGAGAAGAATGATTGCTAATATATTTCTGCTTCAGATTCACATTTACAAACTTACTGGACCACCCAGATGGATTGGGGGGAAAGCAAGGACCATCCAGGAGTTGTCTGTCCATCCACACTGGAACCCTCTGCATAGTATACATGCCACTTATCTCAGCCATGGTTAGCCACATCCTGCATGTCCCTGGTCAGATGTGCAAAATGGAGTTCAGTGAAACAGCCTTCCCTAAACAGGGCACATTTAGCCAGGCCATTCCTGACCGTGGCTTGGCCATGGAGGGGACATCTGTGAAAAAGTCTCCCATCCCCTGCACAGCTTTTGGCAAGAAGAAGATTTGGGGGAAATGAAAAATGGGCTAAAGACTTGGATTTAGCTTCATGGGGGTCAGTGAAAGATGGACAACATGTTGCCCACATTGGGTCAAAAGAGGGATGGGAAATGAAATTCTACCGGCACATAAGTTTGGCTGATTTTTGTCTACTGCTTCGTGGTTTCCTTTCTTCAGAGGGCAGGGTAGCTTGTAACTTACACAAGTACAACCTAGCCCCAGTTTTTCAGGGATCACTTGAAAACCCCAGCCAGGAATTGTCCAGGTTTCTTCTTCCCTTGGTCAGATCCTCTTTGCAAATAATGTAGAATGAAGAAGGCTGACCTTACTCATGGGAGGTGGGCTGTTCAGAAACTTCCTTAAACTAAGGCTTGACAATGCCTAGAGGATTTGCTTGTTCCTTCTCGTCCACCCACCCCACTGCCCTGGACAGGGGTCATGGACTTCCATCACTTGTGTTTGACCCCAGATTTGGTAGCAAAACTCTCTTACTGGTGGCAAATATTCCAAGATTCATATTGAACTCATTTGAGCAAGTACAAGCTTCTACAGTTAATACTGTAACTTGAACATCTACATTTTCTTTGAAAAGTTTACAAGGGCTACTAGGATTACAAAAAGATTTTGTTTTTTGCCCCTTCTGTGCCGTGACCTTACTTGCCACTGCCAAGATCTCCACGCCCATCCATCGTGAGCTAACTTTCCTTCCCGAGTTCCTATCTCAAACCCCATGGTTAAATCTCCTTTAAATTGTTCACCTCCCAGATGACAGGCCGGGACCTTCTCAAAGATCGAAGCCTGAAGCCAGTGAAGATTGCTGAGAGCGATATTGACGTGAGTGACCAGAGTGACAGGCTGACCCCTCAGCTGCCTGCTGCCCTCAGACCCGGGGTGGGCAGCTTCAGGCAGAGTTTGGATGATTCCATAGCCAAAGGCTTTCTGATGACACTGCAGGGCCAGCCCCTTTCCTCACCATCCCAGGCTCTCTCCAACCTGTTCTTGCTCACAGGTCAAACTGAGCGTCTTCTGTGAACAAGACAGGATCCTCCAGGACTTGGAAGACAAGATACGAGCCCTCAAGGAGAACAAAGTATGTATCAGTTTTGCGTGATCTTAGGCTGGTGGAGTGGAGGTTTGTCTTTTCTCAGTCATAGACCAGATTGTATCAAACGACACGTTGTATCAAACGACATCTTCTAGGTTCTAGGCTATGGAGGAAGGAAGTCTGGATGGGAGGGCAGGAATGGGCTGGGGCAGAATGGAGGGGGCCACTGATATTTAGCCTCTTAGACACTTAGTGTTATTTTTTTTCTTTATTACATTTTAACAAGGCATTATATTTGTGATGCTGAAGGTTTATAACATGGCCTTTGTCCCAGGAGCTTAGTTTTCCACCAACTCTGATTTATCCTCATTGTTTATCCTATAAGGAGTTGATGGCCTTGTGCCTACTTTGTAGATGAGGAAACTAAGGCACAGAGCTGTTAGATGACTTGCTCCAGGCCACTCAGTGGGCAGGGTCAGAGTTGGAACCAGAAGCACTGACTCTCAGGCCCCAGCTGGACACTGGCCCCTTCAGCCACAGTTAGAATCCAGCAGGTTTGTTTAGTTGCTGGGATGGTGTGGGGAGGCCTCCAGGGACTGTCCTGCTATTGTCTTGCTCTTTGACCCTTGCCTGGTGCAGGACCAGCTAGAGTCTGTGCTGGAGGTGTTGCACAGACAGATGGATCAGTACCGAGACCAGCCCCAGCACCTTGAGAAGATTGCCTACCAGCAGAGGTTGCTGCAGGAGGACCTTGTCCACATCCGGGCAGAGCTCTCCAGAGAGTCCACTGTGTGTAGAGGGTGTGGTGGGTGGCAGACACTCCCCCTCAGGTCGGGCTGGGCAGGGGGCTGCTGTTCTCATCTCCCAAACTATAGTTGAATTCGCCAATTCAGGGGCGAGAGTCTTGAGTACCAGAACTTCTGCAGGCTGCCTCCTGACAGTAGCTTACCTTGTCTAGAGGTAACATATCTATCTCTACCAGTGCCTTTGGGTCCTTTGCATCAGTGACTCCTGGATGGCTGTTGTGGCACCCAAAGGACCAGATTTCTCACACCAACCTGCAAGGCTATTCCCTGCTCTGTGTACAGTTAATTTGACGACATCAGAATTTCCACTTTATTCGTTCATCTGATGTGATACAGGCCCTTTTTGCCAGGGCCAGGAACCAAAGCATCCCCAAAGGTAGAAGAGGGGACAGTACAGGTGGCCAGAGTCAGAGTGATGAGAAGACAACCCTTGTCTCTCACCAGGCCTGCCCAAGACCTATGGGACACCCCTTCCCTCTTCCCCTGGCTGGGTCAGCAATGGTCAGGAGCATAGGTGCTCATGAGGCTTCTGGGGGCCAGGGGACAACTAAGAATCAGAAGTGTTTCCTTGGCCAACAGGAGATGGAGAATGCCTGGAATGAGTATCTGAAGTTGGAGAGTGATGTGGGACAGCTGAAGCAGACCCTACAGGAGCAGCACAGAAGAGCCTTTTTTTTCCAGGTGACCCAAGGGCTCTTCATCTCCTCTGAGCTCTGATTTCTTCTGAGAGCCCCACCCAGGGCCTTCTCTTTCTCCACCCGGATGCAGCCTGCTCCCCACCCCAAGCTCTCCCTTGGGGATCCCGTCCCCTAACCAGGCTGTGATATTCAGCCTCCCCACAGTTCCCCTGCCTCTCTGCTCTCAGAAACAAGTTCTCGGGCATTTTCGTAAGGGTTTTACTACTGATCATTTGGAGAAACAGCTCCAAGAGGAGACAAATACCAGCCTTGAGAGCATTATAGAGACTTGAGAGTGATCTGTGTTCCTTGGTTCTTGGCCCGTCTTCGGTTTCTATTTACTCAGACAGCAGCAGGAAGCCCTGCCCACTTCCTTTCTCCAGTTCCTGAAGACAGATGTTATCAAGCTTTCACCTGAGGAGGTAGTGTGAATCCAGGTCCATGGAGGTGCCTCTCGGCTCTAGGCAGTCACTAGCATTTCTGAAGGCTAGGCCGGGAGAATACCCATCATTGTGGCCCCTGCCCCACTTAGGAAGGGCAGCCTTAGAGCCCTGCCTCCTCTATCCTTAAAAAGCAGGCCACCTGTTGACAGCTGCCTCTGTCCCCAAAGGTGAGAGAAGAAAGGCCCTGTGTGGTTAAACCTTGCTGCTGCCCACTGTTCCCTCACTATGGTGCCCAGCCAGGCTCTCACTCCACCCTCAACTTTATAACAAAATAACCTGTTTTCCAGCCCAACTTCAGATCTGTATCTCTTCTTTCAGGGTGCTAATATAAATTCGATTTATTTGAATTCAGCAAACATTGATTGAGGCTTCTTATGTATGAGGCACCATGCTGGGCCAGTTTTGGTGTTAGACTTGCTAATTGATGAACTAGTTCTAGGCTCTTCATTAAAATGATTAATGGGTGTGTTGATCCTCCTGATATCAGCCTCACCCCAAAAAATGACTGGAATTCGGGACTGGGAGGCTTTTCCCAGGCCTTGCTATCCCTCCACTCACTATTCTGAGCTGGTTCCAGGCAACCTGTCCAGGGCCATGTTGAGGAGACTCTTGCCTGTGGCTCAGGGCCAGCCTGCTAGGTTCCCTAGAACTTAAATGTCCCCTCTTTTCCCTAATAATTCCTCCCCCCGCCTTTTTTTTTTTTTTTTGTATTTCCAGAACTTAGCATAGTAGCTTGAAAATACTAGGTGAATATTGCTGACAAAGTCCTTGAAATGATTATTTCTGGTTACTAGTTCCTTAAACCGTCCTGTCATATCTATCTACTTGGACTTCAATGAACCACATTAGTTTTAGCAGTAATTTTTTTAGCATTTCATTCCTTACGTTTTTATAATTATACAAATAATAGATGACCGTATCTCTTTGAAAAGGCCAACCAATGAGAAGCAAAAAGAAAAAATAAACAAAAGTCTTCTTCCCCTTTCTGCCTCAGACCACCACCTACCCCGCATATGTATGTCACGAGTGCCATCAGTGTGTAGCGTTGCCTTTCTGACCATTTCCTGTGCATTTCCAAACATGCACACACATAGAATTGTGTAATTTATTTGGGGATGGGAGTTGGGTTTACTTTAAGAGGAATCACACTTACACATTGTTCCATAACTCTTTGTCATCACCTTGCGTTGTGGGGATCTTTCCTGGAAAGATACTTCCAAATTTAAGCTGTCCAATATGGTAGCTATTTAAATTTAAACATAAATTAATCAGAATTAACTAATAATAGAAATCTCTTTCTCAGTCACACTAGAATCATTTCAACTGCTCAGTAGCCAGCCATATGTGGCTAGTGGAGGGCTACTATATTGGACAGCACACAGATGATAGAAGATTTCCATAACCTCAGAAAGTTGTACTGGGCATTGTTGGCCTAAGTAAATGAAATCAAATTAGTTCTTAACCACTGTGTAGAATTTCATAGTCTAGATATTCTGTATTTTAATTAGCCATTCATTTTCTGATGGGCATTTTAAATTATTTGTAGTGTTTTGCTTTTATAAATGATGCCACAGTAAGCGTCTATGTAACTGCCGTTTCAACTTATTTATTAGCATTTATCTAAGATAGGATTCTAGGAGTGGACTTGGTGAGTTGAGATGAGTATATATCTTCGTTGTTGACAGATAGTGCCAGAACACTCTCTGAAAGGCTGTACTCATTTGCTCTCTCACCCACAGTGAATGAGAGTACTGAACCTATCTACCCACATCTCTCCAGCATTCGATGTTATCAGTCTTTTTAATTTTTGCCCGTCTACCTGCTGAAAAGGACATCTTGTTTTAATTTGCATTTATTTAATTACTGGTAGGTTAAACATCTTTTCATATAGTCATTAGCCATTTATATTTCTACAGCACCTTATTTTATGGTAATTTGGTATACAACAGGCCCAGAAACCATTTTTCCCCTCCAAAAAACAAATGGGTACAACATACAGGTTTTGTCACAGACTCGCTGGAGAACTTAGCCCTGTGTGTTACTAAGACATAGGCCAGTTTGAATCCTGTTCCCTCCAGCTTGATTTCCATCCAGCTTGGTGGCATTGCTCAATGACCTGGGAAGCTCACAGAGCCCTTCTTTGAGCAGGCTCTGTGCTAACTTCTTTGGTGTAATTCTAGGCCGGGCAAGCTGTCAGAGTCCTGAATAAAATCAATGATGCTGGAGATATGCTTATGGCCCCAAACACATTCACAGTAGTGAGGCCTGGAAACTTGCCTCCCTAAAGCCAGGTTTGGCTGTGAGAAAATTCATAGCCTTTTCAAGTAAATACGAGTGGCTTTATTTATGAAGATTTTCATGACCACCTGGGCAGGGAAGCTAGAGGATAAAAGAACATCCAGGTAACTGGGTGAGAGGCAGTGGCAGGTGTCCCTAGTTCGGGGCGATGATTTCAGGCTTCTGCTGAGTGTAGCACACAGGAGCCTTCCTGCCCAGTGTGGTGTGAGGATACAGGAATGAAACCCCACCTCTTTGCTCCCCAAAAGCTTCCTTCAACTTGTCATTAAGTTCTGAAATTCCATCTCTCTTAGAGAAAGAGTTTCTCTGGCCTTTGCTCCTCTTCTCTTACATGTGGGGATGACAGAGAGGCAAAGTGGGGCTGGGTTGTGAACTGACAGGTAGAAGTATGCCAGGTAGACTGCCAGAGGAGGGGAGAGAAAGAGTTGATTTTTCATTCCATGTTCCTCCTTCACCTCTTCCCAGCACTCTACCTGGGGACTTCTGTTCTTGAGATAATCACATTAGCTTATACACAGACTCTGGGCTGAATAACATGTTTGTTTTAGGACGCTTGTACTTTAGAGAGGAGCTGAGCATCAAGGTCACTATTTGCTCGTCAGTCCTGAGGATGTATGTTGGTATTGGCAAGGTGGGGAGCGTATGAGAGTGTGAACCCCTTAGGAAGGAGGCCTCGGATATCTGTTGTCACGGCCGTTGGACAGTGTTTGATCACGGAATTCTATGTGATTAGTCCTTTATTCATTCAGTATACATGTACTGAGAATCTGCTGAGTACCTCGTCCCGTGAGATGTGTCAGGGAACACATGGTCTAACTGCAGCATTGGACAGTTCCAGTTCTCGCATGAGAGAACTCTTCCAGTCGAGGGTGGCCAGGTGCCTTGGGGAGATGGGAATGTGAAGCCTTCGTAAGTCCACAGGGATGGACAAAGGCTGTCTTCCCCCATGGTAATTTAAAAACTGAAAGAATATTGTATTTGATGTTTAAACAACTTGTTAAAAGGTGCCCACAATCCTTTAATCATGACAGACCCTGCTCACCTCTTTCTGGGGCCTCTTCCCAGCCGATTTCAGTTATAAGTTGTGTGCATATGGTTGTGTAGCCTGGCTCCTTCATTACTCAAAAAAAAAAAAAAAAAAAAAAAGCTTTATCATATAATTCGTATACTGTAAAATTCACCTTTTTAAAATATTCAATTCAGTGGTTTTTAGAATATTCAGAGTTGTGAAACTGTCCCCACATTCAATTTTATAACATTTTCATCCCCCAAAAGAAACCATGTGCCTATGAGCAGTCACTCCCCATCCCCACCTCCCCACCCTTGCTCTAGCCAACCACTGATCTACTTTCTGTCTATGGATTTTCCTATTCTGGACATTTCATATAAATGCAATCATACATTGTGTGTCTGGCTTCTTTCACCCAGCATAATGTTTTCAAATTCATCCACGTTGTAGCCTGTATCAGTTCTCCATTCCTTTTAATGGCCATATAGTTTCCACTGCCCATTGTACTCTTAACTGAACTTCAGATCCTGGGATTTAACTGTCCATTAAAAGATGCTCTTTATATTCCATGGATGGCGTAACCTCTAGTCCTTGCCTTCAGTTTCCTTTACCCATGGTTGCCTAAGATGGTCTGTTTTTTAAATCGTGGTAAAATATGCATAACAAAATTTACCACCTTGACCATTTTTAGGGGTACACTTCGGTAGTGTTAAGTGTATTCACGTCACGCGCACCCGTCTCCACAGCCCTTTTTGTCTTGCAGACCTGAACTCGGTACCCGTGAGACAACAATCCCCATTCCTCTTCTCCCCACAGACTGCTCTTTCTAGGTATCCTGACTACTCCAGGTACCTCACAGAAGTGGACTCAAACAGTATTTAAAGTCAGTCTATTTTTAAATTAGGTGAAAATAGGCAAGTTGGACGGGTGAGAGCTTCTTGGAAGTTCCTGTCCTGGGTCTTGGGCATCTTCCACGTCTGCACTTCCCTACAAAGCTGTGAAGCAGGCTTGGCTGTCGCCGTGGTGGGGTTCCCCAAGGGGATGTTTGAGGGCGAGGGCCCTGTCTGAAACGACAGCAATGAGTCCTAAGAAGAAGCTTCGGGTAAAGAGCTCAGAAGGAAATGAACCACCACCTCGTTTCCTCAGGAGAAATCACAGATACAGAAGGATCTCTGGAGGATTGAAGATGTCATTGCAGGCCTGAGTGCGAATAAGGAGAACTTCAGAATTCTGGTGGAATCGGTCAAAAATCCGGGTGAGTGGGCCATCTTCCCAGAGGTCGGCACCCGGGTGGGTGGGATGGCCCTTGGGAGGTCAGGTCTTCATGGTGTAAGTCACTCTTCTTGTCCTCTGAGGTCTTCGTTCCATCCCACCCTTTGTTTCCCTCCACGCCCCTTAGAGAGAAAAACGGTGCCTTTGTTTCCTCATCCGCCTGTGCCTTCGCTCTCGACTTCTGAGAGCAAGCCGGCCCCGCAGCCCAGCCCCCCCACCAGCCCTGTGCGGACCCCTCTGGAGGTTCGGCTCTTCCCCCAGCTGCAGACCTACGTGCCGTACCGACCTCACCCTCCCCAGCTGAGGAAAGTGACATCCCCTCTTCAGTCACCAACCAAGACGAAGCCCAAAGTTGTAAGTATTGATGAGCTGGAGCTGAGTGCCACTGTTTCCCCTCTGGCAGATAATTGTCCCTCTCTGTCCTCAGGTCAGCTTCTCTTGGGAGAGGAGCTTTGTGGGGAAACCTGGGGAGAGGACCAGCCAGAGTATTGAGCCGTGAGAAGTTAAGTATCTTGCTATTGGGTCTCAGACTCCTAGAGTTAGAAAGGCCCTTAGAGATGATCTGGCTCATCGCTCCTATTTTACAGTTGGGAAAACTGAGGCCCAGTGAGAAGTAACTGTGCTAAGTAGGTGGAATTTGTGATCTGCACCGTGCAGAGAGCTGTGTGACTGCTCCTTGCAAACCTGCAGTTACACTTGCCGTGGACAAGGAGCTCATCTCAGCAGAAGAGTCTCTTTATCTTCACCTACAGTTGAGCAGTCTGATAGATTTTAGGCTATGTTTGTCTTCGCAATAACCTTATGGAATCTGGACAGGAAGGTCAGTATCTTCATCCCACAAATAAGAGAACTGAGGCCCAAAGGTATTAAAATGTGCTTAAGGTCTCCATATTAGTGAATTCAGTTTATATGTCCTGAACATTCTCTGTGCCATCTGCCATCTAAATTGGACATTCAGTCCTGGTCACGTAGGTCTGTGACCCATGTGTTTACCTGGGCAAACACCACAGTTACCTGGCAGAGAGAGAGAGTCCAAGCCCGTCACAGAGTTTGGGAGCACAGGAGACTAAGGAAACAGAAGATGTGATCAGGTACCATGATAGCTCACATCCCCAGGGCTAGGCCAGCCTTGACTGGAGCACACAAGGTATCTGATCCAAGTGCCAGAGAAGCCACAGTAGAGGGCAGCTTGGAAGGGGGTCCTCCAGGATTTTTCCAACAAAGGCTTGGAGGAGCTCTGCCTGGGCAGCATGTGTGCCTAGGACCTCTGATGAGGTCAATGTGCAGTGCTAGCTTAAACACATAAGTCCCCATACCCCAGTGCTCACCATCTACCTGCTTCCAGCCACAGCCCAGGGCCTCGAACTAGAAGACAGGTGCCAGGACCAAGTCATTGTGAATTTCTTTATCTTGAGATCTCCTTCCGTCCCAGATCTAAGAGGCATGGAGCACCAGCCACAAAACAGGAGGTAGAAGTAG